TCGTATAAGATAAGATACATGATTGTAAATGGTACCTGACACACTCGTGTAGCTCTGATGGGCTTGGGAAGCTAGATGACATGTTATCCGTAATTGCAATCATGTCGGTGTGTGAGTGAGTAAAGGCTTTGCAAGCCAACACAGTATAGTTGATATTCCAGTAGTAATTTCGGGTAGCGCTGACAGACCCTAGCTGCCCTATCTCCATTTTAGTGGTACCGACACTAACATGATAAAATAGGGGGGTCGGCTCGGAGTTGGCATACTGTGTCTGGATGGGGTGTCAACATAAAATAGCTGTAAGTCCGAGCTAGTACAAGCAGCCACACACACACATGCATGCGCGTCGTTTTTAAGTGCAATAATCTTGAACGCCCCATTTCACCTCACCCCATCACACGAGCAGAAGCCCAGGCAGAATATTAATGGCATTAGTTTTCAAAAGATAATACTTTCACTTGTGTAATTATGTAATACATTTGTAATCATATTTGTCCTATGATTTATATCTGAAATTCGCCAATTTAAATCTTTGATACTGTTAAAATGAAACAATATTTAAAGCTTGTATAGAGACTACAAAGGTTAAATACATCACAAGAAGAAGAATATCATCATTACAAGAAGGTTGTCATCTACATGTAATATTTCGAGGTACGCTGTCCATTTCCAGTGTGTGTCTAGATGTTGATAAGAGAAATTATTACAGTGTAATTAGGGTATTAATGAATAACAGATATCCAAATTAATCATGGATATTTTCCAAATCTTTGTATGTTTTTAATCAAGATGATCACGTGATTCGATGCACTTCGGAAAGTAAAACCTGTTTCAGTATTAAGTATATTTTGATTATCGAACAGATCGTCTTCACTTGTCGCCGACAGTTTATTTTGAAACAAATGCAAGTGATATAAGAAGTGGAATCTGATTGGTCAATAGGAGGGACATAGAAGGGACACAACTCGTGATAGCCACTGGTTAGGTTACGATCGAGCCCAGAAATTCCAGCTCAGTTCGGCAAGGGTGGAAACTGGACTTTTGTAGTCAGTTAACTGCCTTGCCTCGGGAAGATGTAGACGGAAAAATGTGTAAAATAAAACAAATGTCAAGTAGGTACAGCTTTTAGTATTTTCAAACAACCAAGGGTCTATCGGCGATCGAGTCACAATAGTGGTCATCGGAGACCTATTATCAAAATAATAGACTCAGGTGTCTAACATTAGTGTCTGAAAAGCAAGTTTCATTTGGAAATATATTGCCTGTGGTCACTATCCGACGGATTAATCACTGACCTTATGACGTTTGAAGGATGGCACTAGCCCTGTCTGGCGCACGGCATTAAGGGGCTAAAAAAGGACTGGTCGGCTCGGAGTCAGTATACTGAGTCTGAGTGGGGTATTCATGTTAAACTGCAGCATGGTATCTCAGTGAGCTAGCACGATAAATCGGCATCAGTCCGGATTAGTACAAGCAGCCAGTACACACACACACGACGCGACGTTAAACCCAATTTCGACTCACCTTACCTGGGGTGGACGACTACCCGGGCGAAGGTACGTACTATATCGTCCCCCTTTTCGGGTACGTAGCTGAACGCTATATTTATTCAGATACTCCCAAGCTGGACAACAGTTTATATGCAACGTCGGTGCTCGGAAGTTGAAACCCGAAGTCGCTGTGCATATGTACAGAATCCGGTTACGTAACAGGCTCGCTGACTTGGTTGATGCAGGTTATTGTATCCCAATTATTGCGTAGATCGATTCTGACGATGTCAACCACTGGGTTGTCGGGTCCAGACTCTATTATTCACAGACCGCCGCCATATAGCTTGAATGCTGCATAAACAAAAACAAACAAACAATCAAACAAACAATCAAAAGTGTTGGTGGAATTCAATACCTGCCAGTCACCGCTTATCACGGTTGCATTGCATATCACTGGACTCCAATGTAAACATCAACAAAATCTCTGATAATGTTGTTATTCCTTGAAGAGTAACCTCCCTTAAATGCCTGTCGAGGTTTCTGGTGATGATGCTGAGCTCGTGTCTCTCTTGTTCACCCGATTGGCATGCTAGTGATGGCGTATAATGCTGATATAGCATGATGGTTTCTAATAGCCAAGGTGGTCAAGTGGAAGAGCGTCTACCCGGGGAACGGGAGGTCAGTAGTTCGATACCCGGCCGCGTCATACCAAAAGACGTTAAAATATGGTACTAGTTGTTTCCCTGCCTGGCGCTAGACATTAAGGGGTAAAAACGCCTGGTCGGCTCGGATTCTGTATACTGTGTTTGAGTGGGTATCTCAGTTGGCTAGCACTATAAAACCGGCATTAGTCCGGGCTGGTACATGCTGGTACATGCGCGCACACACATGCAAGCACGCACGCACGCACGCACGCACGCACACACGTGCGCGTCGATATGTAATTGTAATATTCTTGAATGTGGCGTAAGGTTGGCTATACCTATGAACAAACCTCCAAATCTTGATCAGCGACTATCAACACCATTGGGGCACGAATAATCAGGTAGAATTGACAAACGGGATCGGGTGGTCAGGCTCGCTGACTTGGTTAATACATGTCATCGTATCCAAATTGCATGGATCGATGCTCATGATGTCAGTCACTGGATTGTCTGGTCCAGACTCGATTATTTACGGACCGCTGTCATATAGCTGGTATATTGCTGATTGCGGCGTTAAAAAACAAATAAACAAACAAACAAACAGAAAGAAAACAAAACAGAACCCTTTCTCTTGCGTCACGCATGCAGGCGGTACTGGGAGTCTATTCTGATCCTGAATTCTCAGAGATATGTGTGTGGTTCAATGTTCGTGTTTCAGTTTGTTTGTTCGTTCGTTGTTTAACTCTGTACTTAGCAATACTCCATCTATGTTACGGAGGTCACTCGCACCCTTTTGATAGAACCACCTCATTTTACAGGCCACTTGAGCAAAATTTATCAATCAACGCACTGACCCGTCCTGGCTCTTTGTTTAGAATATATTATGGTTCAGATTCAGATTCTCAGATTCTTTATTTGTCTTTTAACCACCACCCTTGGTGACCCGTGAAGATTCCGGGGTAGAATTTGTCTTCAGCAACCCATGCTTGCCGTAAAAGGTGACTATGCTTGTCGTAAAAGGAGACTAACGGGATCGGGTGGTCAGGCTCGCTGACTTGGTTGATGCATGCCATCGATCCCAGTTGCGTGGATCGATGCTCATGATATCAATCACTGGATTGTCTGGTCCAGACTCGATTATTTACAGACCGCCGTCATATAGTTTGAATAATGCTGAGTGCGGCGTTAAACAACAAACCAACCAACCAACCACCCTTGGTACATGAGCAATAATGTAACATAAAGTGTTGCAAAGGTTAAACTCAGTGGTTGTCCCGATAGTTTAGTCCCGCTGAAGCAGTCAAGTTGTATAATAAGCAATAACAGGATGTTGAGGCCATCCGGATTTCGTAGGTCGACACACAACTGTGTATACACTGTACTTATGAGCTGAGAGATTAATGTTACATTGTTCACTGATTGTTTTGTTAAAAAGGAAACGTGTAACGGTGGCTTCATTACAATTGTAAGACATGAAATGACATCACTTCACTCCCTGTAGTCTTGTGGTCTTCCTTTCCGAGAAGCACCACATCTTAGGTTATGACAACAACAAATATAGCTATGTTAAATGTACAAGTAATAACAGAATGTATATAAAACACCAGTACACGGTGTCATTAACAGTTTTGATTTTTTCACAGGAACATTTGGCGTTTTGTCCCAAATATTTGATCCGTTTGTTATGACTGACGCCTCCCTTCCGTAATCAAAAACACAGGGTTGTTGCAATCGCGAGGAAAGGCAGCGGTGATTAACCATTTCTTTGCAAATGATACATGGGCAAGATCAGTTTTCAGTGACCAAAACAACGGGTAACACTTCCATCCGTAATCTCTGATTCTTTTTTTTTTTTTTTTTTAAAGTTACGCATATTCGAAGTTGGCGTCAGGGTTAGGGTTAAATTTTGAAACATGGACACGAGCGGAAATCTTCCCAAACAACAATGCCTCAAAACAAGAAGCAATCAAGCCAGTCGCTTAGAGATCAAGGCTATTTCATTCCACCCGCCTACTATGAGTGGGTGAATTTGGTTTTACGCCGCTTTTAGCAATATTCCAGCAATATCACGGCGGGGGACACCAGAAATGGGCTTCAGACATTGTACCCAAGTCGGGAATCGAACCCGGGTCCTCGGCGTGACGAGCGAACGCTTTGACCACCAGCGCCGCCTATACTATGAACTCATTAAACAATAATCACACCTTTGCAAAGTTATCCTGTTTAATTGGCTTCATGTCTCATTGGCTCGCACCTATGTGTTCTCTGTCCATCATGTTGTGACAGTATTATCCTTCTGTTGTCATTACTTACTCATGTTATCCCACTCATGTATGTAATTGTTGTTACTGATAATCATCCTCTACTGTTAATCCTCCACCTACTATATATATTCTGTACAATGTTCCTCATTCAGCCTTGCTTGACAACGGTATAACGATCTTAACCGAAACGTCGCCTTTACAGTATTAAAGAAGTTGTTATCCATACACTGTGTCTACTTTGTCATCCGTCAACTTCTAAGTAATGCTTATCTAACAATTCGCTTAGACTCTGAAAAAATATTTTTCATAACTACAAACAATTAACAAGGAGCCCCAGTGAGATGGGAGATTCGGGCTGAATCTGTGGAAAATCTAGACTTGCTTCATTTAGAGCTATGGCAAGACACGAGGACTGGGTGGAAGGGAAAATAATATTGTTTGGGAACTGTGAGACAGACTATATATGACAATTCAAGGTAAACATAATTAATGGATTATCTTTAAACGTCAAAGTGAAAAATATTTACGTTCTAGGTGTAGTGTTCCCGGTTATTTTGTTTTATCATTCACGAGTCCGACCCTGCTCAATCCCATAAGCAATGTGGGTCATCGTGTTGAATGGGGATTATCAGTGTCATCGCTCCCTGACCTGCTTTTCGGTCAACGGGCTTCACACACCATGGACCTATCACTGGGTAACCTGTCAGGAAAAGTAGCATTAATTACAGGTAACTTTCATAAAAAATTATAATGAACACTTTGTAACGATAATCTGAATACATTTTTTTTATTTTTACGTATATACCGAAAATAAATCACGTGTAAAAGATAATAGAATAAAAATAACAAAAGAAAAAGTACAGTTGAAAAAAACCCGTTCTGTTTGATTATGTGCCGATTAATCGCATGAAACACTGTGAAACAATTCCACAACGAATGCTTCAATGAGCGCCTTTATAAGTACGCCCACCGGGGCCAGCTGTTGAAAGGTGAAGGTCATTCAAGATGGCGGCCTCCATTGCGAACCTCGCTGGCAAGGTTGCACTGATCACAGGTTGTTTCATTGTTTAGTACACAATTGACAAGTGATCTTAACAGAATCTTCGTTCTCACCTCTTTGTATTAATTTCAAGGATGCATTTCTAGTGATTGCAGATGGATAAAACAAGGACAATAAAATATCCATCCCAGATCGTCGAGATGGTTATCAGCAGTGTACATATTCATGTATCTAGGTTACGCATGTTACGAGCAATGGGCGAGCATCACTACATTGTGTGTATTGGTTGAACTATACAACACTTTACAGGCGATCTGGTTGTCATTCATCTGTGAGACGTTACAATGTCCTAAAACACTGCTTTCACAAACGACAGATTGGCCATTTTCGCCTGACCATAAAAAACCCAGTTAGTAATTGAAGCACTCATAAAATGTCACATTTTGATCTCAGGAAATAGACCCATCACAATTACTCGGGTTAGGGGTTGAAGGGGAACAGCACTCCAACTTTCAGTTGTCTATAGGCGCCATTGTAATAACTCTGCGTAATCACCAGCTAGCCAATTCTGACCTGCGAGGGGCCAACTGTAAAACCACATTGACAGTGAGGGTTAACCCCCTGAATCCTGGCATTTCAGTGGATGATGCTTACTATAACCTTTCACCTTGCAAATGCATCTGGGCATGTAAATGTGTTTGTACAATTATTATGTTGTTTGGTATGCAGAAAATGCATGTACATGTTTTTGTAACAATGAAATTCAGTTCATATACTCAACAGCAACGACTGATATTTTTCAGGCAAATTGCATCAAATACAACAAATACTACTCCCTTCTTGTCATCCATGTTTCATGGTGTAATCCCCCACCTGTTTATTCATCCTCATTCACTTGATGCTCAGTCAATGACTTTATTACAGGTATAGTTAGGTGTAGACCTACTCAGATTACCTGACAAAGACTGCAAAATATCTTGATAACGTTCACCGCTGCCTCTGAGGGTGTCATGGTAATGAGCACTCTGTGGTTCGCATTGTGTCGGGGGTCATTAATCGATCTATGATTGGGTTATATACATGTATCCAGATCTGATGTGGTGATGTACTACATGTTATGTAATATGCAGCACAGCAAGAGAGGAATGGATAGTAGAGTTGCAAAAAACATCAATCAAAGGATTTACCTATTATATGTTGACTCATTAATCACTGTTATCTTGCACAGTGGATTTGTCAAAAGCAAGTGTTTATATATGTAGATTTACTGAAGCAGATGGAATACACCCATATCTGGGCGTGAAGTGCTGATGTAAAAACAACATACTTTGTTCAAAGGATTAGCTGATAATATGTTGATTTTTCATCTGAATCTATGGATTTTTTTAAACAACCATGGACTTCATGAACATAGTTGTCATGTGTGCTATTTCAGCTGACCAATAAGACTTAACACCTATGTGAAACACCTGAAACAAACTTACTTGATCAGTTGAGAAATGAACATAAAAAATCTTTGAAGTTTATATAATATTTTTTGTGTATTTTCTAACCAAATCACTGGTAGATTGACAGTAAATGTCCATACATCTGATTGCTCTTTCCGGCTAAGTTTACGAGAAAATACACATGGTAATCTTTTTTTCTGCATATAAAACAGAGCTTAGCAGAACAGGAAATACAATTTAAATGGTAAATCATCATGTTAATTTAGTGATAATTTATCTGAATTTCACATTTGTATTGATCAAGTTTGTTATCACTGGTTTGTTTACCTGAATTCTCTGAAGGGATACTATGTAGTCTTTTATTGTAACAAATGTTATATTTGGGATAACACTTTCGTTGTAAAGTACAGATTCTCGTACTTTTTGGGGGGTTGAGTCCTGTCCGGGATTCGAACCAACACTGCCAGAGTGAGGCACCTAATCGCCAGCACACAAAGTCAATGATCTTAGAGGCTTCCACAAAAATAAAAGTCGGACAACTGGTAGTCCAGATCACGTACTTTGTGTAGGCCAGGGATCCGGAAATATTTTTTTGCCAATCGGACATTTGCATTTGGCCACGCCATTCCTCATATCTGTTGAATGTTCATGCATGAAAAAAAGAGTAAACTCAAGTGCCTCTTTCATAACATATATACATGATATACATACAATTTATTAACAATGCAATGACACAGATCTAATATGTACCATTTCAACCCATCGTGATGTTGGTTTGACTAATTTGGCTATTGAACGGTTTCCACTGTAAAGCTGTTGGTTTCGTCTAGCCTTCCAGCGTCACATCGTCGGTGTTGGGTCGAAATCCATCAATTTTGGTCCACAAAGCGATATACGCATAAGTCTGTGTAGACTACCAGTTGTCGAAATTTCATTTTTGTTGAAGCCTCAGTGGCTGAGTGGGTTAGATCAAATTTTAAATCCGCAAAAAAGCCCATGCATATATCAATGCTTCCAAACTTGGAGTGTTGTTTCCCTTTGAGTGAGTGAGTGAGTATGGTTTTACGCCGCTTTTAGCAATATTCCAGCAATATCACGGCGGGGGACACCAAAAATGGGCTTCACACATTGTACCCATGTCGGGAATCGAACCCGGGTCTTCGGCGTGACGAGCGAACGCTTTAACCACTAGGCTACCCGACCACCCCTGTTTCCCTTTGAAGTATGATAAAAATTCCTAACAGGTTTATAAATTTACAAACCAGTATTCGTTATCCAAGTTATTGATAATCATTTACAGCTACGTTTGTGAAACTATCAATATTGATATTGTCACAATCTGATGTATTCTACGGTGGCCCATACCCGCCACTGGTGAGATCATTTTTCACTATATGCCTCTATATTTTATCTGGAGGCCGCCAGATACTTCCACTGGTAAGATCATTTTTCACTGTATGCCTCTATATTTTGTCAGATACTTTTCGTTTCAAATTGGCTTACCGCGTGCAACCAGAATTACTTCCAGGTCGGTACCCTGGCAATCGACAGGTTGGAGATTGTATCCGTAAGATTAAACTTTGATTCTAAAGTAGGTATCAGCCGGTCGATGAGTAATTAGCAGAGTGAAATTGGGTGTTAACTTGGCCCTTATGACCTTTATAAAACTAGGAGTATCTGGTAACATATAGAGGCATACAGTGAAAAATGATCTCACCATTGTAAGTATCTTTACTTTATTCAAAACACCTACAGTGCAATACTGGTTTATGTTCCGCAAAACAATCACGAGATTGTCGGTCACATAGCAAATGCAGACCTTTGCAACCGACAATCTCGTGATTGTTTTGCGGAACATAAACCAGTATTGCACTGTAGGTGTTTTGAATAAAGTATATACGTTTAATTATCATGAAAACAGTTCATCGGACACAAAGGCAAGGAACAACTTCAATTTCAAACCATGATGGGTTAAAGCATTTGCTCGTCACGCCGAAGACCCGGGTTCGATTCCCGACATGGGTACAATGTGTGAAGCCCATTTCTTGTGTCCCCCACCGTCATAATGCTGGAATATTGCTAAAAGCAGCGTAAAACCATACTCACCCACTCAAACCATGATGTCCCAACACATAAAGTTATTTTCCCATTCACACACCTTCTGTACAACTTTGGACCCGTGAAGATTCCGGGGTAGAATAGGTCTTCAGCAACCCATACTTGCCGTAAAAGGTGACTATGCTTGTCGTAAAAGGCGACTAACGGGATCGGGTGGTCAGGTTCGCTGACTTGGTTGATGCATGTCATCAATCCCAATTCAGTGGATCGATGCTCATGATATTAATCACTGGATTGTCTGGTCCCGACTCGATTATTTACAGACTGCCATCATATAGCTGGAATATTGCTGAGTGCGGCTTAAAACAACAAACCAACCAACTATACAACTTTGTCTGACTGGCTGTAACCACAATGACAGCTTTCTGTATTTCACCCAAGCCATGGTCTCTATTAAGATAGATGTATGAGAAATAATGACTTCATGTCTACTTCCCAGATACACTAGTCCTGAAGTTTGATTGTGAAAGTGTTATGCATGTCTCACAGGCGCTAGCTCTGGCATTGGTGCTGCAACTGCAGTTCTTTTCTCCAAACTTGGCGCCAAGGTTGCCCTGACAGGAAGGAAAGAGGAAAATCTCCAGCAGGTTGGCGCCGAGTGTGAGAAGACCACATCCCAAAAGGTATTCTATGCTAACGAGTTATTTTTGGACAGGAAGTACATTTTTCCAACTTAATTATCTCAGCTTCTTCACGATCTGCTTGTTTGTCTGATTTCAGCAGTGAATGTATCTATATTTATGATAACGAACAATGACTGATTGTGTGATTTGTGTTTATGGTAAAAGGACAATTATTTTTCAATTTTAGAAAGTTTAGTATTAAAGATTAAAGGCTTGGCTATGTTTGTATTTATATATATATATTTAATTATTTATGCATTCAATTATTTATTATTTTTTAGTATGACACGTATAGTTTTTTTATGTGATATGGGGTAGGTTGAGATATAAATGGAACGATGTGTTCAGTGAGATTCTTTAAGACAACCTGGGCTGAACCATTGTAACAGTAGGTAGACCAAGCTGACCATCACAGCCCTTCCTTGTTGACAGCTGGAACTGTGGGACAAATGGGGTGTGTGACAAATAGGGTGTGTGACAAATAGGGTGTGTGACAAATGGGATGTGTGACAACTGGGGTGTATGACAACTGGGGTGTGTGACAACTGGGGTGTGTGACAACTGGGGTGTGTGACAAATGGGGGCTGTGACAAATGGGGTGTGTGACAAATAGGGTGTGTGACAAATGGGATGTGTGACAACTGGGGTGTGTGACAAATGGGGTTTGTGACAACTGGGATGTGTGACAACTGGGGTGTGTGACAAATGGTGTGTGTGACAACTGGGTTGTGTGACAAATGGGGTTTGTGACAACTGGGGTTTGTGGGAAATGGGATGTGTGACAACTGGGGTGTGTGACAACTGGATTGTGTGACAAATGGTGTGTGTGACAACTGGACTGTGTGACAAATGGGGTTTGTGACAACTTGGGTGTGTGACAACTGGGTTGTGTGACAAATGGGGTTTGTGGGAAATGGGATGTGTGACAACTAGGGTGTGTGACAACTGGATTGTGTGACAAATGGTGTGTGTGACAACTGGACTGTGTGACAAATGGGGTGTCTGACAACTGGGGTGTGTGACAAATAGGGTGTGTGACAAATAGGGTGTGTGACAAATGGGATGTGTGACAACTGGGGTGTATGACAACTGGGGTGTGTGACAACTGGGGTTTGTGACAACTGGGGTGTGTGACAAATGGGGGCTGTGACAAATGGGGTGTGTGACAAATAGGGTGTGTGACAAATGGGATGTGTGACAACTGGGGTGTGTGACAAATGGGGTTTGTGACAACTGGGATGTGTGACAACTGGGGTGTGTGACAAATGGTGTGTGTGACAACTGGGTTGTGTGACAAATGGGGTTTGTGACAACTGGGGTTTGTGGGAAATGGGATGTGTGACAACTGGGGTGTGTGACAACTGGATTGTGTGACAAATGGTGTGTGTGACAACTGGACTGTGTGACAAATGGGGTTTGTGACAACTTGGGTGTGTGACAACTGGGTTGTGTGACAAATGGGGTTTGTGGGAAATGGGATGTGTGACAAATGGGGGCTGTGACAAATGGGGTGTGTGACAAATAGGGTGTGTGACAAATGGGATGTGTGACAACTGGGGTGTGTGACAAATGGGGTTTGTGACAACTGGGATGTGTGACAACTGGGGTTTGTGACAACTGGGGTTTGTGGGAAATGGGATGTGTGACAACTGGGGTGTGTGACAACTGGATTGTGTGACAAATGGTGTGTGTGACAACTGGACTGTGTGACAAATGGGGTTTGTGACAACTTGGGTGTGTGACAACTGGGTTGTGTGACAAATGGGGTTTGTGGGAAATGGGATGTGTGACAACTTGGGTGTGTGACAACTGGATTGTGTGTCAAATGGTGTGTGTGACAACTGGACTGTGTGACAAATGGGGTGTCTGACAACTGGGGTGTGTGACAACTGGGGTGTCTGACAACTGGGGTGTGTGACAAATGGGGTTGAACAGACTGGTAACTCCTCACTGGGACTGGTAAATCTGACTGATATTTTACTGCAATAATGTGTTTGGTAAAACGTAGGTACCCCAAGTACTAGTAAAATGTTAGACTCTTTTAAGGTATGTTCAAGAATTCTTCATGCATTTTGTATTTATGTTTCTTTCTCAGTTTTGTTTATTGGCCTTTTGATCACGTGGTTGTATATTTGGTGTAAGTGGTCAACAGAGGTGGTTATTGTGATGGGGGCACAGGTGGCCTAGTTGTCTAAGGTGCACGCCAGAAACCTATGATTGTTGGTTCGAATCCCGATTCACCCCGATTATGTTTCTAGGTTTGTCAGCACCATACCTGTGCTCGTGGGTTTCACCGAAGTGGTAAACGTCTGAGACATGCATCACTTCGGGCTTTCCTCCCACATTAAGCTGACACACCGCGATATAACTGGAATAATGTTAAAACAGCGTAAAGCCCAACTCACTCACTCACTGAGAATTGACAGTGAATTGAGTAAAAAAGTAAAAAAATGCTGAAAAATATGTTTGGCCTCAGGTTTGAAAATAAAAAGTTCACTGGACATTTTGAATGCCCTAAAAATAATGTGGCTATGTTGTCTTAATGACATACATTACATCCTCATGAGAGGAGGTGAATGCTTCTATATCTATGCTGCGATTTAATCCTTGTAGCCAGTACATTTGAAACGCATGGTCATGTCCATGACCTCAAAATTTGCATTGCAAAAAAAAAGTCAGTAAGCTGTCAGTTCGTAACAGACCCAGGAAGATCCGGGGTAGAATAGATCTTCAGCAACCCATGCTCACCGTAAAAGGCAACTATGCTTGTTGTAAGAGGTGACTTTCAGGATCAGGTGATGCATGTCACCAAAGCCCAATTGTGTGGATCGATGTTCATGATATCAATCACTTGACTATCTGGTCCAGACTCGAATATTTACAGACCGCAGTCATATAGCTGGAATATTGCTGAGTGCGGCGTTAAACAACAAACGAACAGTTTGTTACAGATAATCTACAGTTGAAACAGTGTAGTCATTGCTGTATTTTGATAATTCTTAAGTACCTAAGCATGTGTAGTGGTAATAAAATGTCTGACTCTCATTATGTGATTCGAACTATGTACCTTTGTAAGCAAGGATTATATCCTACCTAAATATTATCCCGGGGGAAGTTTCACTCTAGAGTATAGTATCCTACCTTAGTGCCACACTGGTATGGGTTCAAATTTACTAGGAAGAATCATCCTGACACTAGAGAATTTCATCCCCGGGATAAAAAATAGGGTAGGATAATATTCACTCTTACACCTTCAGATCCAAGGTCGGACGCCTGGTCCACATAAGCAAAGAAGTTAACCCCATCAGCAAGCTGATAACATTAAAATGTCATCTGTGGGGACACAGTAGAAAGTTTTTTAAACAAGCATCAATGAAGACATCTAATAATGATTTTGTGTATAGTACTGTGGAGGCTGGACAGATGAGAATGATGCTACCGGTCACTGTACCTATTGATCCGTTGTCTGTTGCAGCCGTTCCTTGTCACAGGGGACTTGGTGAAAGAAGCTGATGTGAAAAATGTCCTCGATGCAACAGTCAAACACTTTGGTAGACTGAATATTCTGGTAAGGTACATATTCAGGCCTCGATTTAGCCGTATAAAGCATGCACAAGTGCAACTTACTAAAATCCATATTTACAAGCATGTTACATGTAAAAATTAGTTCAAAATTTGTGCTTGACTAACCCTTACTTATCCACACAACATCGATCTCTGAACACACTCAATACCTCCAAGCTTTATTTACCATACTATATCACTAATGCCTTTGTTATGTGTAACTTGTCATGCTTTCTTTGGCTTGACGTCATCAAACTGTTGACAATTAAACATTTGGTGCACATGTTTCTATTACATTTTTCAGCAAAATGTCATTAATTTAATGGACTGGCCTATGTGACCGGCAGCAGACTTGGCCTGTGTTTCAACTTTGATAAATTCATGGAACCTGGGTGCTACCTTGTTTTGTCTTGTGCAACTCTGTTTTCATATCAACGTGCACCTGGTGCAAGTTAAATTCAGTCGTCTGAGGCTCAACAGTTGGGATTGAAAAGTTACTTCCCTTAGGCATGCCAGGATCCTATGATCATGGGTTTGAATCCAAGATTCAGTCCGATTTTGATGATTGGTTTGGCAGCACCACAATTGGTGGGTTTCACCAAAATGTTAAATATAGTTGTATAGTTAAAACAATGCATGACAATGCTTCTAATAACACACATACCTAGATATCTCAATTTCCAGTAAACCAGTGTATCTTTCAAGACAGTGGCACCGGCTGACACTGCTCTCACACGGTTCTGACACTGTTCTCAAATTGCTCTGGCACTGCTCTGACACTGCTCCGACACTGCTCTGACACTGCTCCGACACTGCTCTGGCATTGCTCTGACACTGCTCTGACACTGCTCTTACACTGCACCAACACTGCTCCGACACTGCTCTGACACTGCTCCGACACTGGTCAGACACTGCTCCGACACTGCTCTGACACTGTTCCGACACTGCTCCGATACTGCTCTGACACTGCTCCGATACTGCTCTGACACTGCTCCGATACTGCTCTGACACTGCTCCGATACTGCTCTGACACTGTTCTGACACTGCTCCGACACTGCTCTGACACTGCTCCGACACTGGTCAGACACTGCTCCGATACTGCTCTGACACTGCTCTGACACTGCTCTGACACTGCTCCAATACTGCTCTGACACTGCTCCGATACTGCTCTGACACTGCTCCAATACTGCTCTGACACTGTTCTGACACTGCTCCGACACTGCTCTGACACTGCTCCGACACTGGTCAGACACTGCTCCGATACTGCTCTGACACTGTTCTGACACTGCTCCGACACTGCTCTGACACTGCTCCGACACTGGTCAGACACTGCTCCGATACTGCTCTGACACTGCTCTGACACTGCTCTGACACTGCTCCAATACTGCTCTGACACTGCTCCGATACTGCTCTGACACTGCTCCAATACTGCTCTGACACTGTTCTGACACTGATCCGACACTGCTCTGACACTGCTCCGACACTGGTCAGACACTGCTCCGATACTGCTCTGACACTGTTCTGACACTGCTCCGATACTGTTCCGACACTGCTCCGATACTGCTCTGACACTGCTCCGATACTGCTCTGACACTGCTCTGACACTGCTCTGACACTGTTCTGACACTGCTCTGACACTGTTCTGACACTGCTCTGACACTGCTCTGACACTGCTCTGACACTGCACCGACACTGCTCCGACACTGCTCTGACACTGCTCCGACACTGGTCAGACACTGCTCCGACACTGCTCTGACACTGTTCTGACACTGCTCCGATACTGTTCCGACACTGCTCCGATACTGCTCTGACACTGCTCTGACACTGTTCTGACACTGCTCTGACACTGTTCTGACACTGCTCTGACACTGCTCTGACACTGCTCTGACACTGCTCTGGCATTGCTCTGACACTGCTCTGACACTGCTCCAATACTGCTCTGACACTGCTCCGATACTGCTCTGACACTGCTCCAATACTGCTCTGACACTGTTCTGACACTGATCCGACACTGCTCTGACACTGCTCCGACACTGGTCAGACACTGCTCCGATACTGTTCTGACACTGCTCTGACACTGCTCTGACACTGCTCTGACACTGCACCAACACTGCTCCGACACTGCTCTGACACTGCTCCGACACTGGTCAGACACTGCTCCGACACTGCTCTGACACTGTTCTGACACTGCTCCGATACTGTTCCGACACTGCTCCGATACTGCTCTGACACTGCTCTGACACTGTTCTGACACTGCTCTGACACTGTTCTGACACTGCTCTGACACTGCTCTGACACTGCTCTGACACTGCTCTGGCATTGCTCTGACACTGCTCTGACACTGCTCTGACACTGCACCGACACTGCACCGACACTGCTCCGACACTGCTCTGACACTGTTCTGACACTGCTCCGATACTGCTCCGATACTGCTCTGACACTGCTCTGACACTGTTCTGACACTGCTCTGACACTGTTCTGACACTGCTCTGACACTGTTCTGACACTGCTCTGACACTGCTCTGACACTGTTCTGACACTGCTCTGACACTACTCTGACACTGCTCCGACACTGCTCTGACACTGCTCTGACACTGCTCTGACACTGCTCCGACAGTGCTCTGACACTGCTCCGACACTGCGCCGACACTGCTCTGACACTGCTCTGACACTGCTCTGACACTGTTCTGACACTGCTCCGACAGTGCTCCGACACTGCTCTGACACTGCGCCGACACTGCTCTGACACTGCTCTGACACTGCGCCGACAGTGCTCCGACACTGCTCTGACACTGCGCCGACACTGTTCTGACACTACTCTGACACTGCTCCAACACTGCTCTGGCATTGCTCCGACACTGCTCTGACACTGCTCTGACACTGTTCTGACACTGCTCCGACAGTGCTCCGACACTGCGCCGACACTGCGCCGACACTGCTCTGACACTGCTCTGACACTGCTCTGACACTGTTCTGACACTGCTCAGATACTGCGCCGACACCGCTCCGACACTGCTCTGACACTGTTCTGACACTGCTCTGACACTTTCTTGACACTGCTCTGACACTGTTCTGACACTGCTCTGACACTGCTCTGACACTGTTCTGACACTGCTCCAACACTGCTCCAACACTGCTCTGGCATTGCTCCGACACTGCTCTGACACTGCTCCGAAACTGCTCTGACACTGCTCTGACACTGCTCCGACAGTGCTCTGACACTGCTCTGACACTGCTCTGACACTGCTCTGACACTGCTCTGACACTGTTCCGACACTGCTCAGATACTGCTCCGATACTGCTCCGACACTGCTCTGACACTGCTCTGACACTGTTCTGACACTGCTCAGATACTGCTCTGATACTGCTCCGACACTGCTCTGACACTGTTCTGACACTGCTCAGATACTGCTCCGATACTGCTCCGACACTGCTCTGACACTGTTCTGACACTGCTCTGACACTTTCCTGACACTGCTCTGACACTGTTCTGACACTGCTCTGACACTGCTCTGACACTGTTCTGACACTGCTCTGACACTGCTCCAACACTGCTCTGGCATTGCTCCGACACTGCTCTGACACTGCTCCGACACTGCTCTGACACTGCTCTGACACTGCTCCAACAGTGCTCTGACACTGCTCCGACACTGCGCCGACACTGCTCTGACACTGCTCTGACACTGCTCTGACACTGTTCCGACACTGCTCAGATACTGCTCCGATACTGCTCTGACACTGCTCTGACACTGCTCTGACACTGTTCTGACACTGCTCAGATACTGCTCCGATACTGCTCCGACACTGCTCTGACACTGTTCTGACACTGCTCAGATACTGCTCTGACACTTTCCTGACACTGCTCTGACACTGTTCTGACACTGCTCTGACACTGTTCCGACACTGTTCTGACACTGCTCCGACACTGTTCTGACACTGCTCTGACACTGCTCCGACACTGCTCCGACACTGTTCTGACACAGTATGTTATTTAGTCCCTATCTCCCACCTCCCTTTTGTCCCAAACCACACATGACAAGATTTAGTTAACAAGATGTAACTGTATATTACATATCGCTTCATAAAATACCGGGTGTCATCAGATAATATTTATTGAGCATGTTAAATGTCTCTAGCACTATGTAAATGTTATGTTCCAAGGGTTGTATTTTCAGGTGAACTGTGCAGGTATTATAGAGCTTGGCAGCATAGAGAACTCGTCCCTTGAACAGTATGACAGAGTCATGAATGCCAATGTCAGGTAGGAACACCATCAATATCATTTCAACAGTAGGGGTGTACTTGGACCTTCTCAGAGGCTGCTTTTCTCCCTATGTCTGCAGCAAATCAGGGTTCGTAAAATCCACTCGTCCTCTCGTATTGACGAGTGGCAGCATGTGCAGAGTGAGAAAGAAGTAAAGACTCAATCATCGTACTGGGCGAGTACATTCATCTATTTCAGTTGTATCGATTCAGCTCTTATCATTTTCAAAAAAATATGCAAGATACTTTCAAACCTAACATGCGTTTTTATCTCACACACATTTTCAGCAGTAGCAACGAAAAACAAGCGATCATATCATAGATAGATGGCACACTTGACAACTGTTACAGAAATATACAGATAGTGTGTTGGCCACAGCCCTACATAACCCCCAAATTAAAACAAAAAACAAAAAACTAATCCTTACTAACTCACTAGGTCCACTCCAAGCTATTAAAAACAAAAACATAAAAATATGACCTAAATTATTTCAACTGATACTCAAAAGCTCTAACAAGCTCTGCAATGTAGGTAAAGAAATAGAATTCTCTGCCCACGTCGGAGTGTTTGGTAATGAACACGCCGACAAAGTAGCCAAAGCATCACTAAAATTAGAAGAAATAAGCATCAACCTACAAAAATCCTCCAAAAGTGGCAAAACCAATATCAGAAATCAAACTGTAAACTAAAACAGGTGCTCCAAAAGCCCTTCAAAAAAACAAAAGTTCTTCATAAACCCCAAACATTCAACAGGGCAATAATCAAATTACAGACAGGGCACACTAAACTAAACTCTCACCTACACAGAATCAGAAAACACCAAACAGGTAAATGTCCTCACTGTAACCTAATAGAAACACCTGAACACGCACTATTACCGTATATCGCTGTGTATAAGGCGACCCCACGTATAAGACGACCCCCCTGTACACGCCTTAAAAATCAACCCAAAATCCTATACTCCGTGTATAAGGTGACCTGGAATGAAACACATCACAAGTCTGACTGATATACCGGTAGAAGATTTAACGTGCTCTTGCCGACTGTAGCGTATTTCGCACACGGACATCACAAGTTAGTTAGTTAGTTACTTTGGAGATTTAACGTGCGCTTTCCGACTGGTGCGTATTTCGCACACATCACAAGTGTGCACACAAACCTTATATATGCAATAAAAATGTGTTTATCTTGCGTTGTTTTTTTTCTACAATGATAGGTCGCGTGTGTAACTCCAGCACACGTCGCCATTTTGTGTTTACACGGTACGACACCAAATTGGTGCCCGTAAAATAAAATTTATTTATGAAGTAATAACATATAAGAGACAATGGTGAGTAATTTAATCGCCAATTAACTATGTTGTAACTAACTAGGCTTATGTTTGCTTCACATTCAGCGTGTTTATTCCACAATCACTTGTACACACCGTCTCCAACACTTGTTAATACAACTGTAAAAACAGCGGGAACTCCCTTAGTTCACCTACCTATAGCACGTCATTCTTCAAAATTCCAAATTTCCCCCAAATTTAATAAGAAACCCTAAAGTCCCCCAGGTTGCCCTTCCTTTTCGGAAATACCCTCCTCAGCAAAACCACTAATTAGCCTGGCAGGCAGTTTGCAAAATGCACATAAAGTCAGAAAGCGCACCTAAAAACACCATCTCTCAGAAAGAAATACCAGTACCGAGAGGAGGAAAGTAATAGCAGTACACAGAGGTATTTTTCTAGAAGTACATATAGGAGGGAATAAAATTAGGGTAAGGTAAGAATTAGCAATGCAAATAGTAGGGAAAGTAAAAGTACAAACAGGAGCGAAATGTATAGAAATACTAATGGGAGGGAAAGTAATAGCAGTACAAATAGGAGGGAAAGTAATAGCAGTACAAATTGGATTGAATGAACCAGCAGTACAAATAGGAGGGAAAGTAATAGCAGTACAAATTGGATTGAATGAACCAGCAGTACAAATAGGAGGGAAAGTAGTAGCAGTACGAATTGGATTGAATGAACCAGCAGTACAAATAGGAGGGAAAGTAATAGCAGAACAAATTGGATTGAATGAACCAGCAGTACAAATAGGAGGGAAAGTAGTAGCAGTACAAATTGGATTGAATGAACCAGCAGTACAAATAGGAGGGAAAGTAGTAGCAGTACAAATTGGATTGAATGAACCAGCAGTACAAATAGGAGGGAAAGTAATAGCAGAACAAATTGGATTGAATGAACCAGCAGTACAAATAGGAGGGAAAGTAGTAGCAGTTTAGTTGTTTCACAAGTCCCTTACCCACGCACCCACCAAGCTCGGTTAGACTCACCAGCTTAAATTGCACGGTCGTCAATCTCCCAGGCCCCTGGGACTGACAAATATGAATGTAAAGATGGAGATAACGGCTTGTGTACCAAAATTACAATTGTTGAGAGTCTCAATTTTTTTAATTTATATCGGTTTGGCCTCATTGTTATTTTTTATATCACTTCAACATATGATAAATTGAAAACAACATAGTTTCAAATACAATATCCTGTCAGAAAACACATGCTTACAATTATGTTTGACTAAGAAACAGAATTCCTCTTTCATAACTTCCACTAGCCAAGTCAACCTAACGGACAGTGATTATATGTCCTACTAACATTTAAAAATATAACAGGTTTTTGTTACCATGGCAACGTCATGGAATCAGCAATGCACAATTTACAGTTTGTCATGTATTCTTTTACTTGAAGCCTGCTGTGAAATTAAGGTCTACTTTGATATGCTGTTTATTCATATTTTCAAAAATGCAAGTTTTTCAGAAACTTCAACAGTCAATGTAATACTGTAAAGAAATAAAAGTGTGTGCAACTCTCTGATTGGTTGTTTAGCTGTAAAACACTATTAGGGATCTGCAGTAGAGATTCAACCATTCTCCATCCTTTCGTCCATTCTGTTTTGGTGACCAGACAACATCTATATCAGATGTAGAGGAATTTTGTTTAGAATACGTATGGTTTGGGGTATGTCGGGAATTCCCAATTTGTTTCCATTGAAATAGATTTTCTTGGGTATTGGCTAAAACGCAGCTCTGAAGCTATGCCTGGGATTGTAAGACTCAAGGGAAAAAAGCTGAGGGAATGTGAGACCGAATTGAAAGCACTGAAATTAATGGATGACGTCACATGTTCTTTCTAAAAAAATGCGCAAGATGTGATCGCCAAAGGGAAAGTAATAGCAGTACAAAGAAGAGGTATTTTAGGAATACACATAGGAGGGAATAAAATGGCAATGCAAACAGTAGGGTAAGAACTAGCAATGCAAATAGGAGGGAAAGAACGACCAATGGAAATAGGAGGGAATGTTATAGCAGTACAAATAGGAGGGAAAATAATTTCTGTGCGTGTCTGTGTTTACTGATTTATGCCGATTTGTAGTGCTAGCTCGGTGAGATACCATGCCATAGTTTAACTTGAATACCCCACTCAGACACAGAATAATGACTACGAGCTGACCAGTCCTTATTTTAGTTCCTGATTGCCTAGCGCCAGGCAGGGTAACACAAAATACCAACTTTTAATGCCTTGTGGTATGACGTGGCTGGGGATCGAAACCCGGACCTTCCACTCTACATGCGGATGCTCTACCACTAGACCTTAGGAGCTTAAATGCTGTGATTACCAATACCATGCTGTTATTGTGGTTAATCATTTGATTATGTGAACATGTGAATGCCCTGCTATGTGCAGATGCCATTACATATTGTATTCTGTTGTTGACTGGCCACAGGCCTACAAAATATACATTCGCTCATTCATATATTAAGATAGTCCCTCACAAAGCCAGATCAGGTTCAGTCAATCTGTCAATATTAGGTAGGTACTAGGTCATATGATTTTGACGCCTTTGGTGTACTATGTTGGAGGCTTAAGTGCTCCGACCCGTGAAGATTCCGGGGTAGAATAGGTCTTCAGCAACCCATGCTTGCAGTAAAAGGTGACTATGCTTGTTGTAAAAGGCGACTAACGGGATCGGGTGGTCAGGCTCGCTAACTTGGTTGATGCATGTCATCGATCCCAATTGTGTGGATCGATGCTCGTGATATTAATCACTAGATTGTCTGGTCCAGACTCGAATATTTACAGACTGCCATCATATAGCTAGAATATTGCTGAGCGTGGCGTTAAACAACAAACCAACCAACCAACTTAAATGCTCCAGTGGTGTCTGTGAAGTTGGAAATTCCATCTTTGTGAAACAGCTGTAGCATAAGTCCACAAATTTAGCCCTTCCCTTGTGCTGTACTCATATCTTCATGAATAGCTTTTTTGACATACCTTTTTGACATCGTGTAATGACCAGAACAAAAGATTTCACTATCACGCAATTCCCTCTAGATCTGTGTGAGGAACAGAACTTATCAATCAACCAGTCCAAATGCAGCTTCATTTCTTCACGACCTTGATGCAGAAATCTTTAATCTGTCTAAGGGAAGCTCATACAGAACTTTCAACCTGAAGTGACATCTGCGGTCGGGTTAAATCTCTTATACAGAGGACCGCCTCCGTGGTCTAATGGTAAGGGGTCCGGGGTTCGATCCCCAGCCGCGTCATACCATAAGACGTTAAAAGATGGAACTTGTTGTTACCCTGTCTGGCGCTCGGCATTAAGGGGTTAAAACAAGGACTGGTCGGCTCGGAGTCAGTATACTGTGTCTGAGTGGGGTATTCATGTTAAACTGCGGCATGGTATCTCAGTGTGCTAGCACTATAAATCGGCATCAGTCCGGACTAGTACAAGCAGCCACACACACACTTACACGTGCATGCACGTCGCTATATAAGTGCAATAATCTTGGACGCGACGTTAAACCCCATTTCACCTCACCTTAAACAGAGATGTTACAGCATCTTCCCGAGGCAAGAGTTAACTCATTTTAAAAATCCAGTTTGAACCCTTGCCGAACTGGCTGAAATTCCTGGGCTTGATCGTAGTGCCACCAGTGGCTATTACGAGTTATAT